TAAGCTCCTCAACCCTCTTAATCATCTCCTTGTAAGCCACCATGCTCCAATAAATAGCGAAGCGACGATACTCTTTGGTGAGATGAAAATTAGAAATGTAGCTTTTCACCGTGATCTCGCCTGCTTCAAGAACGTCAGCTTCGTACTTCTCACTTCTAAGGCATACCACCTTATTTGCTCTTCCATGAATTTATTGGCATCCTTGCAACCAGTAAGCTCCAGGTTCACCTTCTCCAGGGCTTCGGCGGTGACCTTTTGATTATTATTAGATGTTTCAACCTTCTTTGTAAAGGCGGCCATCTCACACTGAGACTCGTGCACCTCCTTTTTCAGAGCTTCAACCTCAGCTAAAGCAGACTCTAGCTTGGCCTCATTTTCATCCTTTTGGACCCTCAGCTCATCACGCAAGGCTCTATTCCTTTGTTGAATATTAGAAAGAACTGTCTAACATTCCAGTGCCATCCCAAAAGCCCTGGTTGTTTGGCTCACTAAAGTGGCAGTGAGGTCCACTGCATCGCAGGTAGATACATAGTTCTGCCACCTTTCAGTCCAGAACTTATTAAACCCCTCTGTGGCGTTCCTCACTTCAGGAGGTAGCATTTCAATCAGAGTAGGGGTTATCTTATCATCCCTGCCTCCCAGGAAGTTCCCAGACTTCCCTGGGGTCCTCTCAACTGGGGCCTTCTTTGTGACCTCAAAGGCTAGTAACTTATCTTTCTTTGCCTACTCATTGGCCCTTCGAGATTGTGCCCCCATTGCAGCTCTATTGAGGACTGAAGGAGCTTCGGCTGTTGGAATACACCTTTTTCAGAATGGGACACTAAAGTCCCAAAACTTGCAGAAGATCCACCTATGTGGGTTAACTTTCTTTGCTTCTGGGGCTCTTCGGCTACGCCCTTGCCTTTGCTGGCAGTTAGCCTACCCCTTTAGGGGATTCCTCCCCAGCTCCTTTCCCAGATTTGTCTTTGCTGAGGCGATCGAGCCTCGACTTCACCTACTTTGCCCCTGAGGATCCGGCTTCAATGCCTTCGTGCGAACAGTGGCCGTGGCCTTCATAATACTTGCCATATCTGGCAGAGCGTACTCTTTCTTGGCGAACTTATCTGCAACCATCAGAGGAAAAGTTAGATTACTGAAATGATGTAAAGGTTAAAAGTTAGATAGCTTCTTACCCTTGGGAGCCATCAGTCCAAAGTCAACGAAGTATTGGTTTCTGTCTAGAAGATGGGCAAAGCTTCGAAGCTTCAGAGATCGCTTGTAAATGTCTTCAATAATACTCTACTCCACTTCAGTCAGCTTGTATCTAGAGTTAGAATCTGCGAATAAAACAATAAGGGAGGTAGCACCACGAAGCTATATAGAAATCATTAATATTCAAGACGAGGCACTCACAAACTTCGTAGTACTGGGTCGGCATGGTATAGGCTGGGACAGCATCTCCCTCAACCATCTGCCACCTACCCTTTACCCAGAACTAGGACTTTTTCCACCCCTTGATAGAGGAAGTGAGCCCAACTACGAAAGGAGCATGAGATCCCCAAGGAGTGATATAGTACCACCCCTTCGAGTCATCTTTTCCTACGACCCTAGCATGGGATAAAGTTTCGAACACATGCAGAGGCATGTCCTCGCCCAAAGACACCTCCTTCCAAAGGAAGTAGGTCCCAATGACTTGACTCCACCCGTTTGGCAGAATTTGGGTGGAGGACAACATGAAGGTCCTCGGCACTGCCTTAAAGAAGGGATGCAGAGGCAGACGCACACCTGCTTTAAGCAGGTATTCACTGAAAGCCATGCAACATGACCTCGAAAAACAGGCTCTTTCATGAGGCTCAGGGACTATTAGTTCTATATAATGGGGTATGCAATAGGTCTCCCTAAACTCGGCTAATTTGGAAGAAGTTATAGAGGATGGAATTTTAGCTGCCCACCAACCCGCCTCATAATCTATAGGCTCCTCAGTCATACTATACCACTCGCCCGAGGCCCCTGACATAAATTCTTCCCCACGCCTGCTACTGTAATAGCCATTGACGCCTCGGTAGACATTGCAATTAAAGAAAATGATGAAAAATTATAGAAATGCTATTGAAGGGTGGAGAGATTACTTCTTTATGAAAGAATACCTACTAAGTAGATGAGGAACTTAGAAGACTCACCGGAAGATGGTGGCCTAAAAACTTTCTGGTAGCAAGAAGACTTGAGAGGTTTTGATGAATGTTTCACGAAGGTAAAGTATAGAATGGCAAGATTTTGGCTTTTATACCAATGAAGGACTCAATCCTTACCATTGGATCAAAACCCAGTTGATCTGAAGCATTCAAAATCAAACAGATCTAAGCCGTAGATTTCGAACGTTTCTCATTTTCGATGCCTCAGATTGATAAGTGTGTTATACAAGCATGGCTTGGCGCGTGACTATTCTCCCCAAAACCACGCGTCCTAATAATTAGCTATCATGATGCATTCAATGCAAACGACTGTACGGATATTGGAAGTCGTTTCGATGCAACCAACTTACCTTGGAAACACGCGAAACCGTCACGTCGCAGGTACTAATATCTATGAGAACTCACCTCAGCTTTAAAAGGAAATTCAGCCTTATGAACTCATCTCGGCCAGTTCGATTATGAACTCGCCTCAGCTTCAAAAGGAAATTTAGCCTTATGAACTCGCCTCGGCCAGTTCGGTTATGAACTTGCCTCTATTTCAAAAGGATTTCAGCATCGGCCAGTTCTATTATGAACTCACCTCTGCTTCAAAAGGATTTCAGCATCGGCCAGTTCTATTATGAACTTGCCTTTGCTTCAAAAGGATTTCAGCCTCGACCAGTTTTATTATGAACTCGCCTCTGTTTCAAAGGACTTCAGCCTCGGCCAGTTCTATTATGAACTCGCCTCTGCTTCAAAAAGATTTCAGCCTCGGCCAGTTCTATTATGAACTTGCCTCCGCTTCAAAGGCAACCTCATTAACCTTATGTATTAAACAACTTCTTGAATTCCACGCACAGTATGAATATCTATGCCTGGACTTAAGGGACTAATGTGTGATAGCTAAATTTAAAATTTCAAAAATTTTCTGACTTTATTATTGAAAATTCACACATGAAATAAATAACCACACATGGACTTGGGGGACTGTTGTTACGACTCATAAATAGAAGCACCACGTGGCACCATATTTGAGCGGTGGGACCAGCCCAATTGAACCAGGATGTATTTTCATAACTCCGACGTGTCAACCGAGGCCCAATGCTGTTCCGAGGCCATCATTTTTAGCCGAGCCCTTATTCCCGAGGCAGTGTTGTCAACCGAGGCCCAGGGCACCACCACGGATCTGAGGCTCTTTAGCAGCTAGTGAAGACCCACGTGTGAAGATACACTCATGATGAAGATCTTTATTTGAATGATTGATGTGACTTTTGTGTAAAGTATATTTGTGTCATGTCTTGTCAATGTATGCTTTGCAAGGCTACAAGAGTCAACTGGATCCGGCTAGGACTTGATGTGTTGGCCGATGAGATGAAACCACATGTAAATTGATCCAAAGGTCATCATTTCAGTTGTAACACTATAAATACCCCCACCATGTATCACAAAAAAGGTTAATGTAATTTTAAATACTTGGAGCTATATTATTCTCTCGCCTATTAGCTTGTTTCAACTACAAATTTTGTTCTTTATCGATTGATTTCTTATACAATCGTGTTCTATTTATCTTGTCGGAAGCCCGAACGGTGATGTCTCGTGTCGTTGAGCTTCTCCCACGTTAAGATTCTGGAGCTATCGTAACCGTCGATCGGCATAAACGTGTTGGATTAAGCTTACGCATACACGAGTGGGCCGACATCTGTTGGCAACATTTTTTGAGGTCAACAAACATGTACCCCAAATTCCACAAATTCTAGATCATATAAAGTGAAATATGACTTTGAAACAATAAAAACAATAATCAATCATCAAAAACTACTTTATCTGCAAAGTTCAACAAGATAGCTTCATATACTATAAGAATATGCTTGCACAAATAAAACAATCATTTAAAAGTCATTCATAGATAAAGAATATGTTGACTAAGAAAATTATTTGAAATAAATAATTTTTTTTTTCAATTAAGAAGAGCTAAAGCACATCCATGCTGAGCTTTCGGACATAAATTCTTCAATTCATTCGTCGTGCACCAATGATGGAGTCTCAGTCATACTAAAATCCTCGTTTACATTGGTTGTATCACTTCTATTTGCATTGTCATTGCATCATTTCCATCACAATCATGATCATCAAAATGTAATTTATCTGGAAAAAGTTTTAAAATTCAACATTACATCATATATACTTTGATAAAATGAAGAAACAATAGCCACTCAAACAATTACCGTCATTTTGATCATTTTGTATGGTACATGTACCCATATCACGACGAAATTTCTCCAACTCATCATCTACTAAATTCGGTGGCTCCTCTAACACCTAGTTGCCATAAATGCCAAACCTTTCAAAGTTGATAGGACCATAATTTCGACTCTTGAAAACTTTATCCACTAGCTAAAACCTATTATCCAACATTTACCGTAGTCATGAGAAAAATAGCAGATGTGAAAAAGTGAATGTGGTGGAGTAGCTAATTCATGATTCTTACACTACATTGACCTAGAAGATACTCCCTTATATTCCACAACGCAATCAATTATCATAAATTATATTTCCCATATCTAAATTATTATAATTCAGTCCTACACCACATCTCCAATCAAAAGATTCAGTCTTTCTTTTACCTCAGTATTTTCTTAAATCAAAAGAAACTTTTCATATAGATAACACGAAAGATAGATAAACCTTAAAATGGTATTGCAATTCATAAAGCCATTGCAGCTTTCACCTCACCCTACACAAGGAATTTTTTTTGAAGCATGATGTGCAAAATAGGCAAGGTACTAGATTTGTACCCGTGCTCAATAGGAGCATATATCATGTACTTCAATGTATAACCTTTCAATGACAATGTGCAACCCATTAAACATTTTATCTTGTGCTTCAGCAATTGCACCATTCTTGGTCATGGTTGAAATCGAGGTACAACCTTCGGACCACTATGTGCAACCAAAAAAAGCATTAAAGCACAGTCTGCACCTTTCTTGGCCATTGTAACGAAGGTGAAACAAGTGAAGAAGAATGTGCAACTAGGAGCACAGCCAACGGAGTTAGTGAATCGAGGTTGCACATCGCTCTAAATCATAATTTTATCTAGCACTCGTAGAAAATACAAAAGTTTTACCTCTCTGAAGTTCTGAAAAAGCCAGTTACGTAGCCTCATGTCTTCAGGGGGAAATCTCGGGTACCTTTGGGAGCATTAAGGCCATGGATTTTGGAGTAGAAATGCTGAAATGGGGAGGGAAGAGAGAGAATTCCCTACGAAAGGAGCGGAGGAGAGTGGTGGTGGTGGAGGATAAGCAGGAAAGGTCTGGAGTTAAATTCTGGGCTTAATAGCACAAAACTTCCCTAAGTTTGGTGCAAAACCTCCATACGTTCCATTTTTTTGCATTTTCGACCTTATTTTAACGTTTTATTGCGGAAAATATCATTTTCACTATTTTTTAGTGTACAATGACCAATATAACATTCTATATAAATAAAACAAAAAAAAGTAAAAGAAAAATAAAAATAAAAATAAAAAAATAAATTGTAATTATACTCTCAAACTTCTTAAAAAGTGCAAGTGAGTCCAAAAGCCTTATTAAAAGGCTTAAGCACAAAACGTCCTTACGTTTGACACTTATTGCGGAAAACGTCCTTACGTTTCAAACTTTTTGTACTGGCTCAATAGCACAAAACGTCCCAACGTTTGACACTTATTGCGTAAAATGTCCTTATGTTTTATTTCTTTTGTATTTTCGTCTTTATTTCAATGTTTTATTGCGGAAAACGTCATTTTCACTATTTTGCAATGTCAAATGACCAATATATCCTCATATTTAAATAAAACAATAAAACTGAAAAAAAAAAATTCTCTTTCCCTCTTCTCTCCTCCTCCTCCTTCCTTCACCACCTAAACCACTAGACCCCACCACCATTCAAACCATCTCACCTCCCTCTACAACCTCCGGTCAATGTCTGGTCGGGAACTAGCCCTACCACCACCACCATCGTTAATGCGGGCCACAACCATCAGCCCCAGCATTGTAGATGGAGGTGAGATGGTTTGAATGGTGGTGGGGTCTAGTGGTTTAGGTGGTGGAGGGAGGATAAGGCTGAGAGAGGAGGAGAAGACTGATGGTTTGAATGTTTTAATAAGGTTTTTGAACTCCTTTTCACTTTTTAAAAAGTTTGGGAGTATAATTGTAATTTATTTTTTTATTTTTATTTTTTATTTTATTTAAATATGAGGGTATATTGGTCATTTTATATTCAAAAATAGTGAAAATGACGTTTTTTGCAATGAAACGTTGAAATAAGGATGAAAATGCAAAAAAAAAATGAAATGTAAGAACGTTTTAAGCAATAAGTGTCAACCGTAGGGACGTTTTGTGCTATTGAGCCCAGTACAAAAAGTTTGAAATGTAAGAACGTTTTCCGCAATAAATGTCAAATGTAGGGACGTTTTGTACTCAAGTCTTTTAATGAGGTTTTTGGACTCACTTGCACTTTTTAAAAAGTTTGAAAATTTAATTACAATTTATTTTTTTCTTTTTTTTTGTTTTATTTATATAGAAGGGTATATTTGTCATTTTACACTAAAAACAGTGAAAACTACGTTTTCCGCAATGAAACGTTGAAATAAGGGCGAAAATACAAAAAAATGAAATGTATGGACGTTTTGCACACTACATGCCAAACGTAGAAACATTTTGTGCTATCGTGTACTCATTTTTACACGTGACTAACGTGACTCTGAAATTAAATTAATATATTCAACTTTCCCCTTATCAATGTCATTTTTTCTTAAAAATAAATGTAAAATAATGTGTCAATAAATCAAACAACAAATTGGACTGTCCAAAATGGACAGAAGATTCCAACTCGTTTGGTTTTGGTGATGGAGGATAAGGACGGAAGGAAATAAACGGAATTGAGTCATTGGTCCCCAACTTATTGCCCAAAGAGCATTTTAGTCTCCAACTTTTAAAAAACGCATTTGATCATCGATCTTTAATGACAATGATACATCAATCATCTACAATACAAGTTCAAATCTATGGTTCTCGTAAAAATACGCCTTGTTCTAATTTTTTGGAGACTCGTCAAAGTTAAGAAGTAAAACTTAATTCCATAAATTGGGCATGGAAAATGACGATTGATAGTCATAGATCTACTTATTACTAGAGTAGTAAATTGATGATTGATAATGCGAATTTTCTCTTATCTAAATACTTTAAAATTTCACATTTAAGCTCTAAAAATGAATACAATTTTGTGTCATTATTAAATTGAAATAGATTATAAACAAAATAAATAATTAGAAATAAATAATTAAAAATGCTCAAATGTGGGAGAAAAATGAAAATCTAACATTTTTTTTTAAATTTCTAATATATTTCTTGTGAGAGAAATTTTTTCGTTTACTTAATCTTTTATAATCCATTTTTTCTTATTTCGTAATTCTTGAATTTGTGCTTAAAATATTGTTCATCTGTAATAAGAATTGGGCTGATATTTGAAAGGAAGCAAATGTGGGAAACAGATGAGAACAATACATAAATTCTACATCTAAGAATTACATTTCAAAAATGACAAACTCCAAAAATCAGGTGTTTAATAAATTTATTAAATATTTAAATATAATATAATATACATTAATTATTTTCACTCATGCCACTTCACACACCCCATCTTATCACCTCACTACACCACCTTCCCTCCACCTCTCTACCAGAGACGGCCATCGGCTCCGGCGACCACTCGGGCAACTGTTCCGACGATCACTCCGGTGGCCGCTTCGGTGACTTTCCGACGATCACTTCGGTAGCCACTCCTGTGACTTTCCGTCGATCACTCCGGCCGCCTATCCGGTGACTATTCTGATGATCACCCCGACGCCCGCTCCGGCAGCTATTCAACGATCCCTCCGGCAAAACTGCTCCAATGAACACTCCAACACATGCTCCGATCAACCTACCCACCCCATCCACCCACTCCCAACTTTCAAAAAATTTCCAGAATTTCATGTCACAATCGGTCACAACGAGTCACAATTAACCGGTCACAATCGGTCACAACGAGTTACAACCAGTCACAATAAGCACATATTTGGTCACAAATGGTCACCACGAACAATCTGCACACACCACAGTAAATTGGATCGAAAAACCACCAACAAACTCCAACAATTCAAAAATCAAATCTACTGCGTAGATCGACAGAAAATAATTGATTTTTGTTGTTCTACACTAAATTTTTTTATACCGCCATCAACCACCACAACCCACATCACCACCACAGCTTCCAAACCACCGCTGCATCCTCAATAACATCCACCATCACCATCTCTATAATGAGAAATGAGAAAATCTACGAAGAGAAAGGCCAAATCAGATCACAAACACTCGTCCTACACTCCACCCGCCACCGACACCACTACCAACACCACCAACCCACCTCGCCACCACAACCACACATCACCACCACGACGACATCATCGCGCACATCCAAAACCAGATCCAATCAACTACGGTGCGTCGCTGCTTGTAGCAACGGCATGCCTCCGGCGACGATGGCAGACCGTTGTGGTTGCAACGACTCGATCCCGGTGTCGCTGCTCCACGGTGGCTGCCAGTGGAAAATGAGGAGAGAAGGAAGATGATGGATGGAATGAGAGAGAGAGAAGATACAGAGGAGGAGATGAGAAAGATAGAGTAGTGAGAGAAAATTTAATGATAGATTTTGAAATGGTGCATGGGCGTGGGGTAGGTGAGGTAAATATGTAAAGATTATTATTGCTTTTTGGACAATTGTCACAGTGTCATCATTACGACTTTTTGACTTTTTTGTGTCATAGATTTTGTACAATTTTGAAAATCAACGGTCCAAAAAAGCCATTTTCCTTGATTTTAATTGGCATCAGACATCCCCTAAGTTTATGCATTGTTTGAGGGTCCCACCACAAACAAAAAGTCAATTTCTACTGCCTAACGTCGGAATATGTAAAATGGCTGAAAGAATTTAAAACAAACATGGGCTTAATTAAATTTTTATTAATTATAATTATTAAAACTTAATTACCACCTGCTTTGTGAAATAAAAATTAATCCACCTATTTTTTGAAATGAATCTTTAAAAGTAGGTTTCCATGTAATTTTCTCTAATCTAATTTGTCCAAATATTGGGGTACCGGGCCTAATTTTCCCATAAATCTTTTAGGTCTACTCCACACATCTGAGTGAAACCTAATCAACTGTTCTTGATGAGATTCTTTTGGAATCTACTTTAACCCACTTGATGATGTATTTCGATCATCTTACGTATGTCAGATGTATGTTGGGTGACAATGGACGGTTAAATTGTCTTTTTAACTTAAAACGATATAATTATCGTTTTATATGAACTGACACGATATATACGTTGTTTTACTTATGATTTGAATGGAACGATTTCAANGACTAATGGGGTAATTAACCCGTAAGTTTACTATGTTGTTTAATGAGAATGAAGTATTTGGCCCAAAAAAAAAAAATGTAAAAAGAAAGAGTGAAAAAAAGTCCAATTGACCCAATACTAACTCAAATAATAATTTGAATAAGAGAAAAATAATTGACCCATCGAGCATTCAAGTTGGGCCTTGGGCACTTACGGTTGATTACTTAATTAGTTACTTGGCAAATTTATTTATAAAAGTAAAATAAAATAATTTGATTTATTCTATTTTAAAAAATTAAAAAAATTGATAGATTCTATTCTTAGTCTACCAAACCCGTCAATCATCGATTCTAATAATCATTTGAGTTTTTAAACCGAGAAGAATCGAGTCGAATCACTTGATTGATTCAAGAGTTTTGTCCGACCTTAGGGCCTGCTTGGGAGTTCAACTATTGGTTATAAGCGTTTTTTAAAGTACAAATTTTGAGCGTTTATTAGCGAATTGATTTTTAGTGAGTTAGTAACAATTTTAAAACTTTTCAGCTCATTCTTGAGAGTTTATTATTCATCAGTTCAGAAAGTTTTTTTTTTTTTTAAATTACATATATGTCCATTAGTAAAATTTTCAGTTTATAATTTATTGTGTAAAAAAAAAAAAAAAAATTTCAACTCAAGTGTGTTATTTTACTCACAGGTATTTTTTTTTTTTTAAATATAAGTTAATATTTAACTTAAAAATTAAGTAAAGTTAAATATTTACTAAAAATTTTAAGTTAATATTTTTTACTTATAAATAAATTTTGTAATAAGTTAATGTTATACTTTTAAATAATTTTAAGTGAATTTTTACTTATAAGTAAATATTTATATTTTATAAATAATATTTTATCTTATTAAGTAGTATTTTTATTTTATAAACAATTTTTTTACAAAAAAAATAATGTTTTTCCTTATAAGTAATTTTTTATTTATAATAATTTTATTATCTTAGTATTTTTTAAATTATAATGTAAATTTTTTGCATATAAATAATTTTTTAGTTAATATATTTTTATTTATAAATTAGTTTTGAAGAAAAATATATTGATTGGAAATAATTATTTACACGGTAAAATTCGAAGAAAACATGAGGAATAGTTAAAAACCTGCCGATTTGGTAGGTTGAGAGAATCGGTCAAAATTAAACTACATTATTTTTTGGATTTTTAAATCATCCAAAATTGGTGTCCAAAAAATAGCAAGTATCGATTTTTTTCAACCCTCATAAACGGTGATATCCGAAATCGATCAAATCGATAAAAATAAAAACTCCTAAGTAAGCTCGTAGTGGAAATATTCAAAAAGTATAATTATTTGATTAGTAAGCTCCCGTTGGATGGCCATTATTTTAAGAAAATTGAGTTTTGAATAGTGATTTTTGAAGAATACGTAGTTAAGGAAAAAATTAGAGTTTACGTGTAAAATATTTTATGATGTAACTGTGTTAGAAAATTAAAAAATTTTGAAATAATAATTATCAGAAGGCTAAATTTGGAATTGACTTATTTGTACAACTGAGCTGTGTTCATACACAATTTCAATCGGGGCGTTGAATCTTGATGCGGACTGGTGCAATAATCAATAAACAGACAAATATGTGCAATTAATTAATTGAAGTGGGGGTATTAAATATAGAAAATAATATGGAGTATTTTCCATTATAGTTTTTCCTTTTAGTGTAGGATTATTTTCCTTAATAGTTGATTGTGTAATCTTTCCTTTAACTTTACTGTTTGAGATTATTGTTTGTTTCAATACTCACATCGTGGTGTGGTCTGGGCCTTACAATTTACTGGCTAGTAAAATATTTTATTAGGAAAATATGTAGTTAAAAATGAGTTTGAGAAAAAAAAGAGTTTTGTTTTAATGTTTTAGCCTCTATTTAGGAAGAATTTATAAATATATAGAAATGAGTTGTTGTGAATTTATTGGAACGTGTGGTTGAAAATTAAGTTTATCTAATTTATAAGTGATTTTTATAAGTCTTCCAAACGGAGGCTTATTTATTCATGTCGTCTTATACAGTTGTTAGTTGATACATTTTATGTGCAATTATTAATTGGAAAAATTGCTTGATTGGTTACAATCTGTGTTCTATATGTCCGGTTCATACTCAACTTTCAGAAATGGACACACATTTTGATCATCAACCTTTGACTCAGTAGTCTAAGAGCAGACTCTCAGAAATCAATAAGCATAACGACAAATCACTGCGTCTTTCAGAAATGAATTCATATAATTTTTCACATAAATTGATCTTTTCCTTTTGCTATTGATTTGTTAATGTAATTCTAAGACTCTAATAGTGTTGGATTTTTTTATTTATTTTTTTATAATGCTGATAGGCTTCTTTGATTCTGCTGGAATATCTTCTGTTTGAGCTGGAAAATTAATGATGGCTGGAGACATGGTCTTTTCTGTTGTTGGGAAGCTCGTGGAATACGCAATTGATCCACTTTGGTGCCGGTTCAAGTATGTGATCTGCTACAACAGCAAGATTCGAACCTTGGAGAATAAGGTGAAAGATCTTAAAACTAAGAAATCTGAGGTGCTAAAATTGGTTTCTGAAGCAGAAAATAATGTGGAAGCTATTATACCTGTCGTTAAAGATTGGCTGCAAAATGTTGATGTCCTAAAGAAAGAGGCAGATGAAGTTTTGGAAGGTGCTACAAATTCTGAAATGCAGTGCCTATTCCTTCGATGTCCAAATTTAAAGACTCGTTACTCGCTTGGCAGGAAAGCCACAAAGAAGACTGCGGAGGTTGCTAAGCTCCAAGTGGAAGGTACATTTCAAAAGGTGGGCGAACCTAAACCACCAGTGCAAACACCTTATCAAAACCCCGGTGACTTTGGAGCTTTCGATACAAGGATATCAATTAAAAAGGAAATCATGGATGCTCTAAAGGACAAAGATAGCATAATTGGGATCTGTGGCATGGGTGGGGTAGGTTAGACGACAATGGCAAAAGAAATAGCTAACGAAGCCAAGGCTGACAAATTATTTGATGAGTTTGCATGGGCAGATGTATCTCATGATTCAGATGTAACCAAAATTCAGGATCAACTTGCTGGAAAGCTCGGTTTGAAAATTCAAGATATTGCTGATAAATATGAGAGAGCTGAACGACTTCGTGAAAGAATTGGAGGTGATAATAGTAAGAGCATTCTCATAATATTGGATGATGTTTGGGGAGATACTGAGTTGAAAAAAATAGGAATTCCTTCAACAGGGTATGATAAAGAGTTGAAAATTCTATTAACATCACGCGTTGAAGATGTGTGCAGAAACATGGGAGCTCAAAGGATATTCCGTGTCGGTCTTTTAAATGAAAAAGAATCGTGGGAACTTTTCAAGGAAAAGGCAGAAATTTCTGATGATGCAACAGGTTTTATAAAGGATACAGCAGAACAAATTGCAATGGGATGTGATGGCTTACCTCTCGCGCTTGTGATAGTCGGCAAAGCCCTCAGTAAAAAAGCAGAACATGCATGGAAGAATGCACTTGAAGAACTACGGAATTCTACAGTGTCCAATATCAATGGAGTGCAGAAGTTGTACTCAAGGATAGAGTTAAGCTACAACTATCTAGAGAGTGATGAAGCCAAGTCCTTGCTTCTACTATGCTCTCTGTATGCAGAAGATAAAACTATTGTAATTGAAGATTTGGTTAGATATGCACGGGGGCTAGAGTTGTTTAGAGGCACGACGACATTGATTACAACCAGAGATAGGGTAAACACAATTGTCAATCACCTGAAAAGTTGCTATTTACTGCTCTCAGCTGAGGATGAGGAGAACGTAAGATTGCATGATGTTGTAAGAAATGTTTGCTTACAAATTGCATCTAGAGACAAGCATGTATATATGTCGGAACACACTGGTTTGAAGGAGTGGCCAGAACATGATAACAATGAATCATACGGTGCAATTTGTCTGTCATCGAATGAGCTGAATCATCTTCCCAGTGGGTTAGAATATCCGAACCTGAAGTTTCTAGGAGTGACGTGCAGACAACAGTCACTGGACATAGCCGTAGATTTTTTTGCCAACATGAAAGATCTCAGAGTTCTTGATTTCACACTGATGACGATTCAAATTCCATCATCAATTCAATTGCTGACCAATCTTCGAACTTTGTGCTTGAACCATTGTATAATAAAAATTCAAATTTCGACTTTTGGGAATCTAAAAAAGTTAGAAGTTCTAAATTTGTTTGACTCTGATCTTGATCACTTCCCCGATGATATAGCAGAACTTAGCAACCTAAGGTCATTGGATTTGAGGTTCACGCCCAGCTCTAGATATTGTTCACTTCCACCTGGTATCTTATCAAAATTGAAGAAACTGGAAGAACTGTACATGGGTGTCATTCGACTGAGAGATGATGAACTTGAACAACGAGGGTACATTATTGAAGAGATAAGTTCATTGACTCGTCTTGACACTTTTCAAATCTCCACAAATGATTCTCAGTTTTTGCTGCAAATATTTAATATTTTGTCCATTGAGAAGCTGGATAGATTTTATGTCCAATTAGCTGACTATGAGCATGCTCGTGACGAGATCATGGATTATTATTATTTCAGAAGGAGATTGCATATATGTGGGATTACTTACGCGAGTATGCTTTCTCAGCCTGCAATTGACTCGTTAATGAGGAGAAGTGACGTTCTTCATATAGAAATGGAAAGGATTATGAAGAGGGAGAATGTGTTAGATATAGATGGCTTCAGTGGAAATCATCCAACAGGGGCCTTCGATAGATTACAAGAGATATATCTACGTGACATTCGAGATATTAAACATTTGTGGAGGGGTGTCATTAAACCTCCATCACTCCACAATCTTTTAACTCTCAATGTTGAAAGTTGCCGTTCATTGAAAAGCCTATTTTCTGAGTCAGGTGCATTATGCATGGTGAATCTCCAAAGCTTAAGGATTTGTGGCTGTGGGATGTTAGAGGAGATTGTTTCAATGGACACGGAACAAAATGAAATTGTCCAGGTGCTTGAGTTCCCAAAACTAAAGGAAATCAATCTTTCCGAATTAAGAAATTTGAAGAGCTTTAGATATAGATCTGAATCAAACAATCTGTCTCAACAAATATTCGAACAGGTATACATCAAATCTTAATTAAGCCTACAAAGTTAAATGTGATATGCAAACTTATGAAGTTTTTATGATTACATAATTTTATCCAACGCCATTAAGTAAATTTCTTGCAGGTTACATTGCCTAACTTGGAGATGTTGAGCATGAACAAATTGGGTTGTACCATAAAAATATTGGACGAGTTAAGGCAAATCAGATCTCGTAAGCTAAGAGGATTAAACTTGGCATTTTTGGAAGATGCGTCTATTCTGTTTGACTTTGAGTATACAAAAAATGATGCAGAAATTAGTATACTTAGTCAACTAAGATTACTGAGTGTGCGATTTCAACATAAATTAGTGCACATTACAAGGATGTTTCCGAAAGGAGTTTGTATCTTTGAGAATTTGGTCTTTACGTTACAAATTGTGACAACTTAAGGTACTTGTTCACACCTTCAATGGCCAATTCACTTGTGGCTCTAAAAGGTCTGTGGGTTTTTGGTTGTGAAGCAATTGAAGAGATTATTGGCAAAGAAGAAGAAAGCAACACTTCGAAGATTGAAATTATGGAAGAACAAACGACAAGCAGAATTGTGTTTCCTAAATTGAAAATCATAACACTTCGTCGTCTTGATAGATTTAAAATGCTTTCCTCTCAGAACTGTGAACTCCTGTTCCCTTCGCTGGATTATTTGAACATTCAACATTGCCCTGTGATCATAAAATTGTGTTCAAGAGAGCTACTGAGTGCACCGAAGCTTGATAAAGTATGGATAAATGGACAAACCGTTGATATTTCAAATTTGTTGGATTCCGAAGGTATACACGTGTCTTCTTGATTCCCAATTTGCAACATCTACCATGCTATATTAACATCCTTTGTTCAGGCTCATTACAGACATGAGAGAGCGACAAATTCGTTGATACTTCCAATAGTGTTGAGGATCCAGGTATATACTTCCAACATCTAGTTGAATATATATGTTATAATTGCTTGTACATTATTCACTCATGTATGAATAATTGGAAAAATTAATATGTTCTGTTCCTTAGGCTTTCTGCCATGAGCAATTGAAGCAGAATTTTCATTACAGAACAAATGAAAATTTATTCACTAATGTATGAATAGTTGCCAAATTAATAATGACTACTCCTTTCCCCCTAATGGCCTCTTCTTTATCTCCTGAGGAGCTTCTAGGAAATTTCTTATTTACTCATTTAACATATTGTTTCAATTATTTGAATTCTTGTAATAAGCATTCTTTTTATTATTTGAAGTAAAAAGTATTCATGGTTGACGTCGTTATGTTAGTAGGATTAGTTATCACTGTTTTGTTAGGATTTATGTATAATTTATAAGTAGCCTTATAATATTTGTGGTATATTTGATATATATGATATATGATATAGGAGAAACGACTAAGTTCAATGCTAACGGAAGGAGGTGCAGATAGAAAATTTACTGGCAATGGTTTTTGGTGTCTGGATGGATGGATGGATGATTCTTGTAGACAGCTACCCAGTTCTGTTAATTGCTTTCTAGGCTTGTAGTTCGGAGGGGGAGATGTCACTATGCCATCTGGTGGATTTAGTTTCAACTGAAGGTACAAACCCGAAAGGCAAAGGTGCACGGAATTGGTGTAGGCGGAGCAACTTATTGGCTTTTTTATCTGGAATTTAGAACCAAGATGTTTGTTGTGTCAGTTGTCTGGAGTAATTTGTATCCTAAAGCTTTTCTTTGTTTTGGAAAGCTTCAGTGGGCGGAATGCTACCTTGTTATGCGGTTTTTAGAGCAAGTAGCCATAGATGGTTGGTTTCAGCACAATCTAGTAGTTAGGATTGTCAACTGCGTCTGAATTTTGTGTTGGGAATATTGAATATTTTCCCTAAGAGAAGGATGTAGAAGAAACCGAGATTAAAAACAACAACATGATGAATGAAATCAAGACCAATTATTAATCCAACAATGGAAACAAACAAAAGAATATGATAAAACTTATCTCATCATTTCTTCATATGATCATCTACCCAAAGACCAAGATCGTAGTAACAAATCACGAACCAAAATCAGGAAATAAACGATGAATAACTCCAAAGAAGAATCAAAGGCTCAAACACGAAGATCGTTGTCCTCAAACGATATTTGCCCCCTCTCCTATATATTTTGGTGCTTAAAGGTCTTCCGGCAAATAGTTTGTAGGATTGATCAAGCCTTGAAAAGAATTCGACACTTAAGCACTAGTGTGATTCTCCAAAACTTCAAGAACACAAGGAGGAAGATGAATATGGAGTTGAACAGAAAATAAATTTCTATTCTCTTTATGGAATGAATGTTTGATCTCAATTGGCTTAATGATTCTATATGTTTTCCAACAACTTTCAATGATCAACAATCACTTATTTATAGCCATCAAACATTGCACTACGAAGTGGTGCCAAAAGGAAGTGAAAAGCCGCCAAAATTGTAAAGGAAAACTGCCCCAACAGCTAGTAGAAAACCCCATGCGACCGCAAGGAACAACTCCATGCAGTCGCATGGAGTTACCGAGATCAGGGACTTTGGTCCCTGATCATGGCCATGCGACTACATGGCCATAGTGCCATGAGGTCGCATGGCCCATGGAATTGGCCCCCTTCCCGTTTTCCTTTTCTTTTCATTTGATCATTCCCTTTTCTCTTTCCTTTTTGTTTTGAACAATATATATAACATTTTGTGTATATGGACATACTTGTCGAGTACATAAGAGAATTGTCAAAGACGCCATATTTTATATTTTCTTTATTTGGCAAGCAAAAGGTTGGGTTTAACTCGTATATCTTGTCTTGTACCTAAATTTTGCTATATACTTCGTTTGTACCAAAGTCACTTTACTTAGTTTCTTCATTTGGAGAAGGCCAAGAAATCGTTTAACACCGGATTTAGGGGAAATTTTTACGTGATGCTTGATATATTCGTTTAAAATTTTATGCATGCATTAGAGGGTGTGGTAGCGGTACTTCAAAACGACATAGAAATCAACATTTTAATAAAACGGGAGTCCTAGATCCCCAAACAAACTCAAAAGATATTTCGAGCATGAAGAATTGAATATATTTAAAGAGAAAAATAGAAGATAAAATTGCTGACAATATTTAAAAGACTCCAATGTATCATATTTGATCACGGACCAATATAATAAGTCAAAAAGGATAACCAATGTAGTAACAAATGTTCTACTCGCATAACATAACAAGACCCCACGAAATCCGTTAATGCAAGTTCGGAAGTACCTAAAGTAAATTCTTAAAGACTCAAACCAACTGTCCAACCATCTCTCCGATGCAATCCAGCAGTGTATTGCTTCTCGAGATCCAGCTGGAGCTGCTGCTCCCTTTGCTTCTCCACATTGTGGTTGTCTTGCTTTTGCTCCACTTTTGTGCCCCCTTTCACACCCTACAATTGGATATAGGTACCCAAGGCAACCTTAGACTCTAAAAGTGTGTTAGTATGGACGAAGAAAACTCCCACTAGTTCATAGATTTCAATTATAGTATGTTTGGTGTGAGGTAAATTGGACAAAACATAACAATATTAAGGGAAAAAAGAAGTTAATATAATGAGTTTTATTTGAACAAGGTCACTGTCCATTTTATTACATGTTTTAATATAACGAGTTTTATTTGAATGCGTAAATTAGGAAGCACACAAATATTTGATATTCACGTAAAAAGTAGTTGTACGTGTGAAATCTTTCTAGGATATTCAACGCACACATTTATATAATCCTCCAATTGAAAAGAACATCTACCTATTCACAATGAAATGGGTAGTATGATTTTACTGCTAAATATGCAGTTTTTTGCATCTAATTCCAAGAAAAAAAAAATTTATTCGGTGAGAAAGTGATCATAACTTTTTCTTAACATGAAAAATATAGCTTTGGTAAAATATCCAGTTTAAAAAAATTTGACGTTGCCCATTTGAGTTTTTTGTAAAAAAGTCAATTTTACCCTTAATGAAATGATTTTTTATTGCAAATCATGTCCTCCAATTTTATGGTTTTTTTAGAAATTAGTTTTATTCT